TTTTTTTTTTTTTGGAGGTGGTGGTGAAATGGATAACCCTTTTTTTTTCTTTTCCTTTTGTTCATTGATAATTAGTTTTTGGATTTTTGTTCTTTTTAGGCACCTATTTATTAAAGTTAGGCAAAGGGTGTATCTGTTTAAAGATTGACGTTCCGATTCCATCAAAAGAAACTGAAATCTTGGTTCAAATTTCTTTATTTTCAGTGTTGAAAAACAATAGAATCTGAGATAATTTCTTGTTCACACATTTGTGATTTCTGAAAATTAGTGAATTTGTACTCGTTTAGGCATTTTTGCCGTTAAATTGTGCATTATAATTGTATTTCATATTTACTTTTATTCCTTGTTTGGTTTTGGCTTCTGGTTTTGTCCTTTAGTGAGTTATTCAGAGAAACTGAAAATGTTCGTATTTTACAAATTCTGTTGTTTTTCCCTGGTTATTGAGGAACAGCCCATGTGCAGCTCACATAGTCAATTGCTTGTATTTATTGATGCATCATCAGTTTTTGGAACATTCTTGGTTTATATGAAGTCGTAGTAGGCAGTTTTTATCTTCCTGTCTGAAAGGCTTCTTTCTGGAACTTTTCTTTCAACTACGGAAGTGTTGTTGATACTTCATTATCAGTAGTCTTCAACTGTATCTCTCTCACCTGTTTTTCAGCAAATCCAGATTCCTTACATGTCTTCGTGTTTTTAGGAATTTTGTATGTTAATGGTGTTTATAATTTGTGTTTTCATATGGTTTTAATTAGCCGCACATTCACACTCGCACTCGTATACTCTCTCTCTCTCACACAGACTCAGTAAATCATTACCTATTGCATTCCATCTCTGTTATCTTGCCATTTTTGGAGTGATAATGGGTGTTAAACAATTAATCTTTTTTTTTTATAACCGTGGATGTCCGGGCCAGCTTGTACGCACCTCGACTAATTTCACAGGGTCCTGAAGTTTACGGCCGGGTACTCACCTTAGTGGCCCGAGAGCAATTAATCTTTTTCAAATTCTTTGATGGAAATTTTTGTTGTTGTCCTTGTTCGTTTCGCATCTGATATTTTAGGGTCAAGGAAATGATTTTAAGCTTCTTCTAGTTTGTTTGTTACACGAATGAATGCTGCTTGTTAATCCACTTAGCAATACAGCAGTGGTCACATTGTTCTCTGTTGATATTTTGCTTTGCTTTTTCCTGTTCATCTAGATATTATTATAAGAGATTTGAATTGATCTTTGGCATTATTGAACGATTTCTTAATTAAGGAATTTGTTTTGCTCTTAGAGGCATACTAATTTGACGATATAACTGAAGTGGCATCTATCGCTTGTGCTTCTACAATTGCTTTATAAAAACCCAATGGGTTCTCGATTCCAATCTCATCAGCTCAGCAATGGACTTTATGTATCGGGCCGTCCGGAGCAGCCAAAGGAAAGAACACCAACAATGACCTCGGTGGCCATGCCCTACACCGGTGGGGACATCAAGAAGTCGGGTGAGCTCGGAAAGATGTTTGATATTCCTGTTGATGGCTCAAAGTCTAGGAAGTCAGGACCTATATCCAGTGCTCCATCGAGGACAGGATCTTTCGCTGGAGCCGCTTCACATTCTGGACCTATTAACCCCAATGCGGCAGCCAGGTCCAGCTATTCTACCTCGGGTCCTGTACCTTCCATGGGGGTAACTGGTTCGACATCAATGAAGAAATCAAATTCTGGGCCACTTAATAAACATGGAGAACCTATTAAAAAGTCCTCTGGACCTCAATCTGGGGGAGTGACGCCTAATGCCCGCCAAAACTCAGGTCCTCAACCTCCAAATCTTCCTGCAACAGGACTCATCACATCTGGACCCATTACATCTGGTCCACTGAACTCATTTGGGGCCCAAAGAAAGGTTTCTGGTCCTTTAGACTCCATGGGGTCGATCAAAGTACGTGGTTCCTCAGTTGCTAACAATCAGGCTGTGACGACTCTTGGTCAAGATGATGACTATTCCTTCAAAAGGAACCTCCCGAAACCTATATCGTGGGCAATTATATTACTTTTCTTAATGGGATTCATAGCTGGGGGATTTATTATTGGGGCTGTGCACAATCCCATTCTCCTCATTGTAGTTGTGGTTCTGTTCTGCATCGTTGTTGCCGTATTTGTATGGAATTCTTGTTGGGGAAGAAAAGCTATCCTTGGATACATTTCCTGTTATCCAGATGCTGAATTGAGAACTGCCAAAAATGGACAATACGTCAAGGTCTCCGGGGTATGTACTTTATTGAATATGTGATACCATATATTTTATCCAATAAAAGTTTTAATTCCTAACTATAACCCACAAACCTTGAATACCGTAGTTGTCGGATACTGATGTTGTGATTGACTGATTTGTTTGTTACACGTGTCCATTAACAAGAACGTCCACCTATTAAAGAAGATACGTCATAGTTTTTGAACTTTTCAAAACTTGTATCTATAACTTGCTCTTGGAAATGGCATATTAAATCTAAGTGGTCACATAATCTTGTGAAATACGGCGCCTCAGCCAGTAAGGCATAGTCTTTTTTTCTCCTGATCTTTGTTATTCTACTTCCTTCTAATTGTTAAAAGGCCTTTTAACCCCATGTGGTTTCATAAAGTTGCTGATTACCCCTATGGCAAAAGGTTTGCATGTAGAGGGGTACTCGTGAAATTTAACATCAAAATTTAGTCTGTTAACTGGATAACTTGAGTAACCGGATGGAATCTGTAGACTGTAAATTATAAGGGAGTTAATAGCCTATTTCCTTTTAGCTTATCGAAACCACGGGGATTATTTGGTATTTGCCCTTTCTTTCTCTGTGTACTTTTTCTTAAAAGAAAAAAAAAAAATTTGTGGGATGAGAGAACATAAAAATGGATATTTGCAAGGTGTTTATTGTATATTATATATGGACGGAACATTTCAGGAACTGGTGGCAAATTAATCTAGATGAATTTTGAACTTGCTGCATTACTGTATAGCTGTTGTGTATTTTGCTAGTTTTGTTACAGCAACTTTTGCATTTTATATTCTCATAAATTTTCTAATCTGATGATTGGTTATATTGTGGAAGGTGGTGACCTGTGGAAATGTGCCCCTTGAATCATCCTTCCAACGGGTTTCTAGATGTGTCTACACGTCTACCAGTTTATATGAATATCGAGGATGGGATTCTAAGGCTGCAAATCCTACGCACCGTCGTTTTACATGGGGACTTAGATCATCTGAAGTGAGGACAAAATTTTGTTACTCGTGCATCCATTTAAAAATTGTTGTCGGCACAACACTTTTTGTGATTTTTTTAGACGGTGGTGAAAAAAAAAATTCTTTGAGAAGTTAAAAGGAAAATGCAGAAATCCTTCTAAAAAAGTATTAAAAGGGGAGTAAAAAAGAAAAGGGAATATGCAAAAGAGAGTAACAAAATTGCTAATCTTTGTAATTTTTTTTTATCATATGTTCTGTGCTTGAGGGTAAGAGCAAATCTTTCCGGGATTTGCGAATTATTTTAAAATGCTGTTGTTTTATGGTGCTTGATTAGAGTTTTTTCCCCATACTCCATGCAGAAACATGCTGTCGACTTCTACATATCTGATTTTCAGTCAGGACTAAGAGCATTGGTTAAAACTGGCTATGGTGCACGGGTGACTCCATACGTCGACGAATCCGTTGTCATTGAAGTCGATCCGCTGAATAAAGAGTTGTCGCCAGAATTTGTCCGGTGGTTGGGAGAGAGGAATCTTTCTAGTGATGATCGTATGATGCAATTGAAGGAAGGGTAGGTTTTTTATTTGCCCTTCCCATCTTGACATGTTAAAGCATGTATGGCTAAGTTTAAAAATGACTTTTAAGTGCTTTCTTTGCCAAACACATTTGAGCTTTCTATAATTTGTCACCAGAAGTGTTTTAAATTATAAACAGGCTCGTGTGGGAGTGATTTTTTTAAAATCACTTTTCAGTTTTCCCCACTCTCATTTCAACCACATACTCTCCATAAAAAAAATCATTTCTTACGTTTCCCCATTACTTTTCCCTAGTTTTTTACCGCACATTCTCCAAAAAAATCACTTTTCAATCATCTAAAAATCTCTCTCACACAAGCACTAAATAGAAATGAGTGGTGGATAAGTGAGTAATACATGTGAGTCCTAAAAAAAATGTGAATAAAAATAGGTTTGACCAATTATGAAATATTTTTGACTCCCTTTCGTGGATTCGAAGTCAAGACCCATGTTGCCTTCACTTTGAGACTTGGATCCTTCGCTGGTTGAATTCTTACTGGTCAAAGAGCCAATTCAAGCACACACAGCAAGCTGCGAAGAGCCACTCGAGGTAAAAGTTGTGGCACCATGGATGGATAAATAGCATGTCAATTTGGAAAGAAAGCTAATGTCGAAGCGGCCTGATTTCTTCTCTAACCAGTGCATATGCATAAGAATGCATGAGACAGGAATCCAGCCGTCTACAGCAATCAAGCCGTCTACACAAGGAGTTTCGCCTTTGGCCGGCGAAGTCACTCACAATTGAGAAAGGGACCCCGTCCCAATTCAACGAAAAAGCTGATAGTCTAGACATATGGCAAATCATTCATTCACCCTGGAAGCGTCAAGTGGCAGAGGTAGCGGCATTTCTGTCACATTCAAGAGTTCACCGCTCATTTGCATCTGCTGGAAGGGATTTCTTGGTCTCCAAGAAAGTTCGAAGCTTTCTAGTCTTTTCTTTTGCGGCATGCAGCTAATTGGCAATATGCAGAATTCTTGTGGCTCAATCGTTGCTGTTGGAAAGGGAAGGAGCATCTCTGTGTAAATCAATGTTACCACTAGCACGCATTTAGTACCTTGATTGGCGGTCTTAATCTTGATTCACTCCTTATTAAGGAGTCAGGAAGAGCTTCTTATAAATTAAATAGGTGCCAACGAGTGCTAGCCCATAGGTTGATTATAAACCTGAACGTCTGCAAATCTGCTTGCATAGTTAGATTGGAAACTCATTCTAACTTTCTGAATTTGATTTTTGGTATGGTAGGTTTATCAAAGAAGGAAGCACAGTTAGCGTAATGGGAGTTGTTCAGAGAAACGAAAACGTGCTTATGATAGTTCCTCCTGCAGAGCCAGTCACAACGGGATGCCAGTGGACTAAATGTATATTTCCCGCTAGTCTCGAGGGAATTGTTCTGAGGTGCGAAGATTCATCTAAGATGGATGTTATCCCAGTGTAATAGCTTGTCTTGTTCGACCTTTCTCCAAGTTTGTGCCTTGTAAAAGTTTGTTCTGTTCAATATTGAAAGCCAATTATAGTGGAGATTCTAATGTAGTTTCTAATCAAAGATGTTTATTTGTTAGATTATGGGATTTGTAATGTGAATGGTTTGTATTGTAGAAATGAGCAAGTATACATGTTTGTGTTCCGCTTATTTTTGGCTTTTCAGTTGTCTTGGAAAAGATAAAAAGCAAATTCTGTCCTTTATCTTTCTGGTTTTTACTCATGTTTGGCTAACTGAAAAGTTCACTCGTAGGGATTATACAGGCCTCAAAACACAAAGTAATACAGAAAATAGAAATGAACACAAATGATTTTTCGCCTAAGGTCCGGATATGCACCCAAAAATTAGGGCTAGTCACCCGTTGAATATTCACCAAAGTGATTAACGTTCCAATCCACTAGAAACCAACAATAGATCAAGATCAAGGTTGCAATACAACATATCCACAAAGGATTAGCCCTCAGACCTAAGAATCTCTCACAAATTACCTAGAAATACGATTACACCAAGTAACCAAAGATTACTGCCCACAAAAGATTAGAAAACCAAAACTAAGCCTTAATCAAACACTAGATCTCACCAAGAACACCTAGATCAAAGATTACAGACGAAAATCAAAGGTTTTCAAAAAGAGAGAAACGAAAGAGCCAAAAAGGTAAGCCCTAGAATGATCTCGAATAATTGAGAGTGAATGAAGAGACTAGCCAAAATAATACCAACGGTCGTAGCTCTATTCACGTGTCACAATCTCAGCCCTTGAGATAAGTGATGCTACCGGGTTGCATTCAAATGGGCTGGCCATCTCTCAATAGTTAAGGGTGCATCATAGGGCCTCCACATATTATAGAATTGGGCTGCCATAATATTGGCCCAAATTGTTAAACACCAATTTCACAATTTCCACCTTGATTGACAATTTGGGTTTCACAGTAAATTGAAGGTTAACTCCTACCTCAACTTCATTTGCTCTAGGTACCTGCAAAAATATTAGTTAATAATGACATTTAGGAGATTTAAACAATCCCTAAATTTGTATAAAGGAAGAATCTTAGTGCCCATGTCTGCAGGATTACATTGGGTATAAATTTTATCAATCTTCATGATTCATTTTTTAAAACATCTCTTATGAAATGAAATTTAACATCAATATGTTTAGATCTATCATGAAACACAGGATTTCTACTTAAGTGTATTGCAGACTGACTGTCAGAAAATATTACAGCATTATTTTCAAAAAAACCAATTTCATTTAGGAAAATTTTCAACTATATACCTTCCTTCACAGTATCAGTGGCTGCAATGTATTCAGCCTCTGTAGAGGATAAAACTGCAATCTTTGGTAGTTGAGATTTCCAACTACTACATGAACCATTTAAAATAAAAACATATACAGAAGTTGATTTTCTATTATCACAGTTACCAGCAAAATCAAAATCAACAAAACCTTTCAATTTAATTCCAATTTTACTTTTACTAAACATAAGCCCTAAATCAGAAGTGCCCTTTAAGTATCTAAATAACCATTTCATGGCTTCCCAATGATATTCACTTGGGTTGTTCATGCATCTACTCAATACGCTTATAGCAAAGGCAAGGTCAGGTCTGGTGCATATCATAACATACATAATAGACCCTACAGCATTGGCATATGGAACATTTTCCATTCTAGTCTTTTCTAATTCAGTTTTAGGGCATTATTCTGATGAAAATTTAAAATGACTACCAAGAGGTAAAGTGACCTCTTTGACATTATCCATATAAAATCTGCATAAAATCTTTGAAATGTAAGACTGTTGTGTGATAAACAATTTATGATTACTCATATTTCTTCTAATTTCCATCCCTAGAATCTTTTTAGCTTCTCCTAGGTCTTTCATTTCAAATTCTTGTTTCTGTTTTTGCTTAATCATGTTAATTTCAGATATATCACACTCAGCAAGTAACATATCATCAACATAAAGCAAAAGATAGTAGGAATTAGGGCCACCACTGCCCTTGTAATAACAGCATGGATCGTATTCACTTCTATTAAATTCAAGTCCTTTAATAAAAGTATCAAATCTGATATACCATTGCATTGTGGCTTGTTTCAAACCATATAGTGATTTTTTGTAAAAGACATACAAGGTTTTCCTTACCCTTTTGTTCAAAACCTGTAGGTTGAGACATGTAAACTTTTTCATCCAAGTTACCATGTAAGAAAGCAGTTTTAACATCCATTTGTTTTAATTCAAAATCAAATTGAGATACAATATAAAGCAAAACTCTTATAGAGGTGTATTTGACTACATGAGAAAAGATTTCACTGTAGTCAATTCCCACTCTTTGGTTAAAGCCCTTTGCAAATAATCTGGCCTTAAACCTTACATTCACACCTTCGGTGGTTCCTTCTTTTACCTTAAAAATCCATTTATAGTCAATGACCTTTTCTCCTCTAGGTTTATTGACTAAGGTCCATGTCTTATTCTTAGCTAATGAGGTCATTTCATCCTTTATGGCAGCAAGCCGCAAACTGGCATGTTCCCCTCCCACGACCTCTTCATATATGTTTGTATATTTTCTAGAAGATTCTGAACATTTAAAGTTGTAACAAATTCAGAGTCATTGTATCTAGAGAGAGGTCTGACTTCTCTTCTAGTTCTATCTCTTGCAAGGTGATAATCATCTAAAGGGTTTTCAGGTTGGTATGGAGATAAGCCAGGAGGTTTAGCCTCATTGATAGGTTTAGTTTCAACAGTCAATACCTTATCAGGATCCACCTCAAACTAGTCATCATTCCCTGAATTTAAATATGTCTGAAAAAGTTCTATTTCTAAAATTGTTTTATTTTGATCAGTTTCAGGTGTAGCAGGTACATCTCCTTTAATGCAAGGCATGTCAACCTCATTAAAAATAATATTCCTATTGATGATGACTTTATATCCTCCTAAAGATTTCAACTAGACCCTATAACCCTTAATACTTTCACCATATCCTAAGAAAATACTCTTAACAGACATGGGCTCCAATTTACCCTCATTCTGATGTACAAAGGCAGCACAGCCAAAAACTTTCAATTTAGAATAATCTACAGAGTTGCCATTCCAAACATGATCAGGGGTATCAAATTTTAAGGATTTAGTGGGACATTTGTTTATCAGATATGAAGCAGTTTTAACTGCTTCCCCCCAGAATAGTTTTGGTAGTCCTAAACTTATCAACATACATCTGACCTTTTCTAACAGAGTCCTATTCATCATTTCAGCAAGCCCATTCTGTTGAGGCGTATAGGTGACAGTCCTATGTCTAAGGATCCCATTTGTTTTGCAGAAATTATCAAACTCTTCATTGCAAACTTCAAGACCATTATCAGTTCTAAATGC